GTTTTTTCGATTACCAAAAATAAAGTGATCCTCTTGAATGCACTATCGCCAAATTCCATCAAATTCGTCCCACCTTTTTCTGAACAGCGTACAAATATGTGTTATTTTATGTGAACTTTGAACCCTCCTCACGGACATACGGTACATTTGGCATATGAATGAATTAGATCTAATCAACTCATTTTGACCTCCTCCACATGTGGTAGCTCTGTGTCCCAGCAATTTTCCGGGCACGCTGTATAGGGCTCTGAGAAATAATAAAATAAATGAATTCGGAGCATTTCAATTCGTTTCCTGATTCGGAATCATTTGATATTGAAATCAAGGCGTATATTCTCATTTTGACCTGCTAATCAACATGAATATATCAATTCTCAATTCGAAATTGTCTATTTTGGATTTGGAAAAAATCATTCCCTATTTAAAGGACCCCGCACCGCATCAATGGGAAATTGGCTTTCGGTGAATTTACTCGAATTTTTGATATATTGTAGAACTCGTGGTGCTGATCAAATGTCTCCATTGCACCAACGCTCTAAAATCAACAGGTACGATTATATAGGGTGATAAAGTTGACTTTTCCAGAATTTTAGATAGAAATTGTGAAGACACCTTTCATAATTTCGAAACCAAATCAACTGTGCATTGATTGTTTGTATTACCGATACTAATCTACTATAAAGTATAATGATTCCTGCACGTACTAACAATATACAGGGTTGGTCGGAACATAGCGAATAATTCAGTGATTTTCGGAAAAGTGTGCGGTGGAATTCCATTTAAATTCTGTAGTATACAAATATCATCCCCATTTCGTGATATTAGCATCTCCTAATCAGACATATTATATACGAGATGTTTTATTTTTGATAAAGTCACATCCATGTTAGGCAACTATTATTGGCATCCTCAATATGACTTACAACTTGAACAACCTATAGGGAATCTTGTTCATTCTATGATGAATGTCCACTCTGCAAATCCGTGAAATATACGGAGTGGATGAAAAATCAATGGTCTTTGCTAATAACTTCCCAAAAGTAGTATGTGCAGATTCTTGTGACCCATTTTATTCACCCTGTTTCATAACGACATTATAATCAATAAAACTAATTTGAACCATTCGATGCAGTATATTTTTGATCGTTCTGCAGGTATCATAGTAGGTTTTTCAGGTGATATAGAAACAATCAACAATAGGAAACAAGAACAATGAATATACAATTATTATGGATAGGATAACAACATAATATCCTGATATTTAATCACAACAGAAGTTCTGTACCTTACATAGTGTATGAATTTCGTGTTATGACAAGCAATTATATTTCCTCGATCACTAATTCATGAAACGAATTCGTTTCTCGAAATGAAATAGTTGAATTAATTCAACTTCTTGAACAGTCTCCTGAATACAACTTGTCATACTCAATTCTAGAATTCCTCAACACTCAAACACTGCTGAAGTAAAGTCAACATAACAGTTAAAACAAAATTGAAGTAGTAAACAATATATTATTATTATGAATGACTAATTCCATGTATTCGTTTTTACATTAGGTGTCATCATGTCAATGTCTTCCGGCATTGAATGCGATCCACAATTTATTGTTATTTCTTGGAATTACGGAAGCTTGAGTGAATTCTCATTCGTAAAAATCCATGAGCGTTCGTATTTAAATTGAAATTAATTTTCATCGTGATATCATACATCTTTCATATGAGATCGTGCCAATTTTACCTGGTAGGTTTTCTGCTTCTATTGTGGCTTACACTGAATTGACTCTGATAGCCTTTTCTAACATCAAATTGGCTAATTATACATTGGCGTCTCTTGAGTCAAACAGACATACATACAAAAATACATATAAACTATGAAGATGAACCCAACTATCCAAAATACATACCTAATGTAACAAACAATACTATCTGGCTGGTTTATAAGGTAGTATGAAAATCAACACGATGGCATAGTTATTATATTTGAAAAGTACTCCTGACTTTATAGCCGAGTTTATAACGTACTCAATAAAGATAGAAGCAGCTATATTAGTTTCAATAAACATAAATATATGAATTATTCCAGATTTATTGGGAAATGCCACGAAATATCAATTGTGGATTGTATTCGATGCCGCTGCGGAAGACATTGACCAAATCAATAGTGTTGATGACATTATATTTGGATATTATTGCACATGTAAAACTGGAGCAAGGACCCTTGGATGCTGTGCTCATCTGGTACCTTGGCTACGCACGTTATGAACAAAACATAAAGTATCCATCAAATGCCCTTCTCATTCATATAGAAGACGCTGCACATCGAGATGATCGGGTTGATCACATGCTCTGACTCTATCACCCGTTGATCATTTCATAATTATTTCCAGTTTCCGTCAACCAGTCAAAACTTTTTCTTTCATCAACGAATTTCATAATATCCGTTTCTTAATTTATTAAGGTACATACATACAGTCGTATTCAATAAAAAAAGCGTACAAGTATTAAAAAGAGGGGATATCGGGATCCTAGTTCTAGTTGTGTACAACTGGCTCAGCCAATGCTTTGTGTTTTCGAGAACCTATGACAACTCCACTTTCAACATTTGGTGAGCAATCATTCCCGATAGTCCGATTTATGCAGAATAGGATGACGTTAATTTCTCTCTGTAATATACTTGTACCTACGCTTTTTCTTTGAATGCGACTGTACGTAAGAGTGAATTTGCATGTCTTCTACCTATATCTTCCATTTTCTACTTAATTCTGATGTTCATCTAACTCTTGTATCAATGAAGTGAATGAACAGAATTAATAGGTGAACTTATAGGTACCAATACGAACTATGAAATGAATATATGGAATTAATCATTGATTATTAACAGTTTACTACTATTATTTTTGTTTGAGGATTAAGGTATTCTCGAATTGAGTATGACGAGTTGTATTCTGGGAACTGTTCAAGCAGTTGAATAAATTCAACTACTTCATTTCGAGAAACGAATTCGTTTTATAAAATAGTTATCGAAGAAATATAATTGCTTGTCATAACACGAAATTCATACACTATGTAAGGTACAGAACTTCTGTTGTGATTAAATATCAGAATATGTTGTTATCCTATCCATAATAATTGTATACTCATTGTTCTTGTTTCCTATTGTTGATTGTTTCTATATCACCTGAAAAACCTATACTATGATACCTGCAGAACGATAAAAAATATACTGCATCGAATGGTTCAGATTAGTTTTATTGATTATAATGTCGTTATGAAACAGGGTGAATAAAATGGGTCACAAGAATCTGCACATACTACTTTTGAGAAGTTATTAGCAAAGACCATTGATTTTTCATCCACTCCGTATATTTCACGGATTTGCAAAGTGGACATTATTCATCATAAAATGAATAAGATTCCCAATAGGTTGTTCAAGTTGTAAGTCATATTGAGGATGCCAATAATAGTTACCTAACATGGATGTGACTTTATCAAAAATAAAACATCTTGTATATAATATGTCTGATCAGGAGATGCCAATATCACGAAATGGGGATGATATTTGTATACTACAGAATTTAAATTAAATTCCACCGCACACTTTTCCGAAAATCACTGAATTATTCGCTATGTTCCGACCAACTCTGTATATTGTTAGTACGTGCAGGAATCATTATACTTTATAGTAGATTGGTATCGGTCATTCGTACAATCAATGCACAGTTGATTTGGTTTCGAAATTATGATAGGTGTCTTCACAATTTTTATCTAAAATTCTGGAAAAGTCAACTTCATCACCCTATATAATCGCACCTGTTGATTTTAGAGCGTTGGTGCAATGGAGACATTTGATCAGCACCACGAGTTCTACAATATATCAAAAATTCGAGTAAATTCACCGAAAGCCAATTTCCCATTGATGCGGTGCGGGGTCCTTTATGTTCATTCCCATTTTGGATTTGTTTAACAAGTCGAATGTATCAGGTTATTTCAATTCAATATTGATGGGTCTCAACTTGAATTTGGTGAAGTATAGAAGAGAAACAGTGGTTACCTATCGATTGGGTCTGCATTACAGTGACGGCTCGTGACTTTCATGACAGAGGAGGCTGAATGATATGAGATTTATTGTGAAAAACAACTATCTACTCACCCAAATCAATAGCTTTGATAACATTCTGTTTACCAGTTAACCTGAACTTAATACTCGAAGAGATGTGTTTCTGTGATTCGCAGTGTCTATCCAATCCGCGAGCCCAATTTTTCAAATCATTATATCCTAATCGCCCCCAACATGATGACTTATCGGTTGAAAATAATACGCAGTACCAAGAAAATAGTTTATTCCTTACCTCAGATCCCGTCAGCCAGATATATTTTTTATAATAATCAGAATTTGACGAACGATTTTGTTTGTTACCTGTTACAATCAGATTTTTTAATTCCTGTGTCGGACGTTTGTTTTTCACAATCAATTCATCTTCATAATACAAAGCACTGAATGGGTTCACCAAAAAGTATTCCACTAAATTGCAATCGTTTGAAACACTCATTTTTTAGAAATTCATAGAGCCCCTAACCATTAACCCAACATAAATATAAACAATGCCCGCAATTCGCGACGCGACACGACAAACACGTGCTATTCGGGCGTATTCGGGCATTTGCATAGCGCAATTGTGAAGGAGTCTAGCCTCCTATAGATGTTGCCAAGTTGAATATTTTACGCGTGATTTGCAGACTTCAACGTGTGATGCGTGAGCAAGCACTGTTGCCAATACCTAAAAACATGAAATACAATCGAAATTCATGTATTTTGGTGTCCTTCCAATGAGAAAGTATAGATAATATCAGTTCAAGGAAAATCTCAGAGGAGGCTCAGCCTCCGTTGCCTCCTCTGAGGCGCCGCCACTAGCCTGTAAACTGTATGAGCAGGTGAAGAGAGTGCGCCTATGAAAACCACGGATATTTTTCCTTCGGGATTTCATTTTCTGTTACAGCTTCAATTTTCTCGGGATCATTCTAACAGGTTACAATAGGGCCATCATGGCCCGTCCAACATCAGTATCCAGGTAATCCGAGATTTCACGTTACGATGATATTTTCCAGATATTATATGCGATAACTGTCTGTTCGAAATCGTGAAATATGTTGTGGTTGGTGATTCCATATTGATGTTCATTCAGCTGGATACAAGATCTGCTCTGATGAAAAAATGTTGAAAGGCGAATTAAATCAGATTTCTTTTTTAATTTCATCAGTTCAGAATCATGTTAGTGCATCTGCGTTATCTCGATACTCTCAATGGTGGCAATAGTGTGACAAATAGAACGTTATTTCAGTGAGTTCGAATCGTAAGGAATTTATATGTATATGATTAGTTAATCGAATCATCCGTGGACACTGAGCTGATGATACTGGTCAAAGAAATCTCATAAGAAACATGTGAACCTACGATGAATATGGAATATGAGAAAGGGTTCCGGAGTTAGTCTGGTCACAGTTAAAACCGTTTTGGGCTTTATTATTCTTGACTTCAAAGACAAGAACTCGCCGTGATGGTATAATCATGAAGAACATTGTTATCAGGTCTTCATATTCATTTTTGTTTATTTATATTCAATTACAACCCATAATATCTCATGTAATGGAATGATGAATATCATGTTCTAATACCTTGGTTCTTACACAGGGTGTTCTTTAAATACATCCTACTATTCAAGGTTGATCATTTGACTTATTTTAAGGAGAAAACTTGATATGAAGGTATGTCCTGAAAGTTTTAACTTTTGAGACACAGGGTGATGAAGTTTTGATAAATATCCAGTTTTTTTATGATAACTGAGACAATATTGTACACATCTTCATAAAATTTGATACACGTGTTTAATGCATCAAGGTGCATCTTCTGATGTTGTAACGTTTTCAATTACTTTTATACCTTACTCACCAAACGTTACATCAGTAAGCTTGATGTTCTACTTAATTCATTTAACTTAGTGGATTGCTAAGCAGCTCGTATTATTATTCATTCAGAACAGAGTTTGGTACACTATTGATTTATAAAACACATTGCCTTGGCCTGTATTCCATTCCTAAGACGTATTGGTGTCCTGAAAGGAATAGGGTGTTTATTTGAGAAAGTTAAATAGTGATTAATATCAAAATAAACAGAGCATCACGTTGACAACAATACATTAAAATTAACTTACCAAGTAGATAGAAACTGACATTTTGTTCTTTAATCATATCCTAGGAAAACGTCGTTGGTTGGTTCTCAGCCAGTAAAAACCTGAACAGGAAATAATGATAGTGGAATTGGACCAGGCAGCAGTATGAAAATTTAACAACAAAGGCCAAGTAGATACTCTACACTTACCTCTCAAATGTACATATTGTATATTCAATGGGTCTTGACTTCATGGAAGAGAAAATTTTCCTTTGAATTACTATTACAACAAGTGGTTATCCAATGTTTACTAGTTAAAAATAGTCGGGTTATGTATCCTCAATGTCAAAGGACGTTAATTCTTCTTCTCCAAATTTCGCCTACGAGATACGTAATTCTTTCTGACCTTTAAATTGTGAGTCCCAAATGGTCCTAACATGCTAATTCTCCAGCCACAGCCCAAGGTCATCATGTCTAGTAATTGACAGATTTCACCACAGTATCTTTTTCGGACCGATGCTGTTGGCTGCAGGTGACTGTTGTCATGTCGTAATTTCCTGCTCAAAACTATGGATTCGTTGATTTCCATGCCAACAAATCTGTGTTTCATGTCAATTCCAAGGTTGAGAAAAATTGTCAATTTGTCAAGAAGGAGAGACATTTTCATTTCCGTTCATGAAGGTGGACAAGGATGGTGAGTTCAGAAATCATCCAAATTTTCTTTCCAAATCACAAATAATTCTGTAAGATTTTATTAACAATATAATCTGTCGACTATGCAAAGTCATTGGACTGTGGAAGCCTTGCCTTATTTTTCTGGAAATGACAAACTGAAGATTCCGGCGCTACTTGGTTTGTGGTTATCTTGGCCACGAGGTAGGAGACGACACTTGGAGGAACAGGAATCCCACATGGCCCACCAGCACGACTTGACTTTAATGATGCATCCAATTATACTAGGCAAACCCTCTGACGACCAGAGGTGAGTTATATCTCAAAATCTCTTTTGTGACATTTTTTTTTGCAAGACATGGTAGTTATACGCCATTGCTCTTCCATAGGGTTTCTTTGCTGGGTTTACTGAACACTCTTAGATCTTCTCAACTGGCTGTCGACATGGATTTGTCCTGGGCTAATGCTCATCAGTATGCTGTTTTATCCGCTTCATCGAGTGGGCCCCTTTGGTCCAGAACTTGGAGTGGCTGTTAGGGAATGGCTGCATGTTTCTTGGGGCTGACCACCAACCCAAGCCTGTTATGACCCATCATCAAACCTAACATCATCATTGGATAACCAGGTTTTTTTTTATATAGAATTTAACCCCATTTATTTTCCTATAATCCTCAAATATCTTGACATATAATGCCTAATTAGAACTTTTGTGTGTAATCCTCAATTTAATCTTAAAATCATCTTAATAAGCTGATGTATTGCGCTCCTTTTTGGAAACTACTTCAACTACTTTAAATCTACCCATAGGTGCAGGATTTAATTCCATCTAAAGGTTCATGAATCTTCTGACTAACTATATCTAATAGAAGTAACCTGCAGTATACCCACATACATATATATGATGATATTTTCTTTTCCAAATTGAGCTCTGAATAGTTGAATTTAACATCACATGATTACTAACTATAATATTCTAATATGTTGAGATTTCCTTTATGGGTGATTACATTGTAGTGTACAAATGGTAAATCTAAGTATTATTAAATTGTATGTGTTTAATGGAGTTTTCTTATTTCAGCTGAATATCTCTCATGATCAAGGTTTCTGATTTTTCCAAGTTAACAAATGTCTAAAAGAATCAGTGGCGCCCATTTCAACTTTTAATCAGTTATAATATACCACATATCAACCTGAATATAAATATATTCATATATATATATATATATATTTGATGAAATTTGAATCAGTGAAAGATAAATTCTATATCAAATTTAGCAATAGACTCACGCCCTTGTGCCTCCGATGAACAGCTGCCGTTAGCAGTGAAATAATAAAAAAATAACGTTTTAATGTACCAACATTTTCATTTTCTGTACCAGTGGCACCGTTCCGGGGACATTATTGTTTATATTTTAATCAAAAATGAGCAACGACAAAAAAAATTCAAATTTCATGCAATGTCATCAGGGGCTATTTGATTATATACAAGAAAGATCCTCTTGTTGATACTCGATAGAATGCTTGGATTCCGAGAAGAAACGGAAAAACGAGATCAGACTTCAAATTTTGATGTCTGAGTACTCCATTCAGGACATCCATTACTGGATAACCACAGTATGTAACATTTTGAAACTTTTATACCGATTCAGTCACATAGCAGACTGAATTCGTACATCACGAAAAGCTATACAGGGTGGACAAAGAAATAATCTATGCATATTTTCAACATTGACACCTTGTATCTCAAAAGTTAGGTCGTTTACGACATACGTTCATATGAAGTTTTGTTCTTGAAATGGGTCGAAGAATCGGCCGCTTGAATATTAGCATAGACAGAAGTGACATCAGTTATTTATTGGTTACTTCAAGAGAATGATGAAGTTGCCTACAACGCATGTGTCCCTACTGTTGAAAACTTAAAATTTCATGTCGATAATTTTCAGATTTCAAAATAATGTAATATCTTCTCAATATTGATTCGTCCTTTCTTCTGTCACAAAAATAGTGTATTATTGATTAATATCATGCAAACAAATGAGTTATAAGATGTTTTCATTAATTCATCTAGCATTTCGCATTTTCATGTTCAAATTCCAATAGTAATAGGTATTTCGAGTAGAAATCTGAGACATTTTTTCCGATATCTATATTTCTTCTTCAAATATCTTCTAAAACAGGTGTCACTGACATTCTTTCGAATTTTTTTGAGGCCAACTATTAGAAACATTTTTCAAACTTACTGACATCTTGGGGCAAATTATACATGATTCATCCATATACTATACACTGAGAGGAATCTACCAAATCAAGTGCTTTGCTGAAACCTTGTGTATTGGATTCAATATATTTTTCGTACGGTCGTATTTGAAATTGATCCTACTATTAATTAATCTTCGACTCGTGAAAAAATGATTTCATTGAGATTTTTCCATATACAACGCATCAGGTGAAACTAAATGATACTGATATTTACATTTATAGAAACGATAAGAGAAAATCTCATAATTTCAGATGAGATGAAATACTTCAATCTATAATATTTGGAATCACACACTTGTTCACATTAGTGCTCATTTTTATAAAAATATCCTCAAAAGGGCCGTTTCAGTATGTCGCATAGGGCGTCAGAACCGCTCGGGCAGGCGCTGAGTATCGTTGATGGTAACCAAATCACCAAAATTGAATATTTGGATCATTCCTCATCCACTTCTTCTGATCAACCAGGGTAGGTATATATTCGCAAATGGAACTTTCCTTGACGATGTCCATGTTCGCCATCGTTTTCTCAAATAGTGTGGTAATCAAAATGTTATTCGGACATATTAAACTCACCAGATCAGCAGGATTATCGTATACCTGGGTGCGAAGTTCGCTGTTTAATATGTATTCAGCTTCTGCTCAGAGGGTTTGGAGTACTTCCTCTGTTTGATGCCTATCCTCCGGCCGAAGCTCTCTTGAAACACCCTATCAGACACTCTCAGCTACCATTTATGGGTGAAGCCAGAAGTTGAATGAATTTCCATTAGATTTTTCCATTTGTTGTTCCTTCCATAATATTGTCGACTCCCGGACCAGATTACTCGCACTGCTCCTCGTCTAGCTGAAATCGTCCCTCTTGGCATGATACATGAATTCGTATAGAGAGAATGAGCTACCTCTACATGAATTGCTCTGATAGTTGCGCAAGTAAAGAGTATGTCATACCTCTCTTCATACTCTACTGCCAATGTTCACA